AGTAAAAGTACTGCCATATATGGTGAAAACTATGCTGGAAGACCTAACAAGAAGTATGAACATGGAAATAACTTCAACGAGCTTCACTATACTATAACAAAAATAATTGAAAAGCCTATAGTGGCAGATGTAGAGGATAAGAAAGTGAGTGCACAATGCTACTAATTTAATTAGTGATTCCGAATAGTTCAGCATCTGTCATTTAGAACCCAAAACCGAATTAAAACAAAATAACCTAACAGATTTGACTGATGAACATTTGAGCAACCTAANGGATCTTCGGCTTTATAGAAGCGAATTCTACCCCTGAGCTACTGAGACTCGACAATATTCAATGGTTTAGAAATTAGAAGATGTTAAAAATGTATTATAATTAAAGAAATATTTTTTTCCTCAAGTCTATTCGTGTTTTTTTTTAAATTTATAGAAATCTCACTTTACTTTTTGAAATCTCACCCTGTTTCTGAGAAAGAGCGAGAAATTCTCTCCCATTTTTTTCTGTAATGAAAACACTGCTAAACAGCAAATGAGTTATATTTACTTTTATGAAGAATTTTACACAAAATTATTTCCAGCAAAACCTGTTATTAAGAATTAACTTTACATAATGTTACTAAAAAATCTGACGAAAAACATGAACTAATTTCAAAGCAACCAAACATTGAATAAAAATTAAAAACAGTATATTAAGTTCCAATGTTAACTGAATAAAATGATTTTTAAAATCTAAGGATCTTTTAATTAAGATTTAAATTTTTACGTAACAATCTGATATCCTTAAAAAATAAAAATAATAGCGTAACAATCTAAAACTTCAAAAAAAAAATTTACATTGCAACAAGACAAATTATAAATAGACCAAATATTTAACTTTCTTGTTAGAAGCAAATCATGCTTTCGTATTTAGTACTTAGGGGAAAAAAAGTAATTTTTAAGAAAACTTGAGGTTTTCATCTAAAAACCAGTAAACCCCAGGTTTTTGATGAAAAACATAGGTAGGCTGGAATTTTTCAAACTTTTCAAACCCTGTTTATTACAGATCTGTTTCATTTTTAGTACAATCATGAATTTTAAAAAATTTTACTGTTTTCTATAAATTTACAGTTACTTATTACACATTGAAATAATATACAAATTCATTTAATTCTTCAAGTTATGGTTAGGTATTAGTTGTCCCTATGGATTCTTTTCTCAGGGTTTTACTTAATTTCCATAAGCAGAAGCTTTACCAGTAAAACTGAATTTCCAGCATGGGTCTTCTACTCTACTTTAAAACTGCTCCCTCCCCTCTACCCAAAAAAGAACTAACTTTTCCATGTGCAGTAATTTGTTACTATTCTTTTTTTTGTTTAGAATGCTTCACTCTCCTCATAGAGTATCATTCCAGGCAAAAGGCAGAATATATTCATGAAAGAACTAATATATGCTTTTTTCTCTTTGCCTGAAGACCCCCCCCCTCCCATACACACACATTCCTTTTTGTCTTTCTAAAATGTTCTACCCTCGATGCATGGTCTAATTCTAGGTGATAAAAACATGATTTTCTGTTTTAAAAAACTGAACTAAAAAATTGCTCCTATCAACTATAGTGATGCTGAAAAGTTAAGGACTTTTAAAATCCTTGTAGCAAGATTAAGTACTTTTAAGGGCCCTTATTTTCCAAAATAAAAATTAAGCAGTTTTTAAGGACTTTTAAAGACCGTGGGAATCCTGAGATAAATATAAGTATTTCAGTGAAAAAATGTATATATATATATATATTTTGATATTTGTAGGTAGTAAAAGTTGCAACAAGATGTTAGAATAGGTTTAAAAATTAATAATAAGTATCTATTTAAAATAATACTTCAAACTTATGAGATAATGTAATAAAGACATTTTCAAGATATATGTTGAACAAATAACTTATTCATTTTTTATGTAGAAAAAACTGAAATATCCTTTATTTTAGCCTATTAACAGAAAATTATCTTCCAATGATCAGTCATAGTTCTATTTATAGTGTGGTGCGATGGAAAAATCTTATTTAAAAAAGGACAACAAGACTAAAAAAAACTTGGGAACCACAAAATTAAGTCAAATTTTAAAAGAAAAACTATACAACTGTTTAAAATTAAACTCCTAATAGATAATGTAAATAACAGCATATCATTAAACAAATGTCATAAGAGAACCTAATTTACCCAATTGCCGTTTTGTCCTTTTTTCTTTCCTTTTCTTGAGTTTGAATCAGCAGAAACCTTAATTTTGCTCCTTGCTCCAAGATGATTTGAGTTATTTCTATCAAACTGGGACATCTTTTTAAACTAAATAGAATAAGAACAGAATATCACTTAAAATCGACAACACAAAAATTTCAAAATAACAGAGGTTTTTATTACAATTGAACTTATTCCCTGTAAGCACAAACAATCAATCATGTCAAAAGAATCACATTTGCTGAAGTTATTTATCAATACAAAAATTAATTTCTTATTTAAATTTCACTCTTATCTCTGCTAATTAACAACAGACTTGTGACGATACTCTCAAAACAATGAGCTTAACATCACATTTTCCCTCTATTGCATTTCTCCAAGCGCATATAAGTATATCCTGTTAATCAAAAGATTTCTTGATGCAAAGATAAAAATTATTCCAAAATATTAACTCCTTCATTTAACAGGGATGAAGATAATATTAAATTGTTTATTAAAAGAAGAAGAAAAAACATGAAGCAAAAAAAGATTTTTTTAAAGAAAAATGGCTACACTTTCAAAGGAAATATTTCAAAGAACATAAAAGGACAGGTCTCAAAATTAACATTGGTCTGTTAGTCTGATTAATAGTTCAGTAAAATTCTATTCAGACTATAAAATAATCACTCACAGACTAGCAATCATATATAAAGAGCTAGTTTGCTATTTTGGTTTTTTGATTTTCGGTTTGATGTCCTGGTCTTTGCTTTTGTCACAAAATAGCGTAGTCTTTGTACATTAATTTCTCCTTTAAATTCAGTTTATTAACTCTTTTCTTTAAAAAAAAAAAAAATAAAAAAACATTTAATGGAGACAAGTAAATGGTTCATTGTAAATGTGTACAGATTAGTAATACCTATTAATTACTGAATCCTATGATCAGTGACTAAATGTTCTTAACTTCTACCCCTGAATTTTTAGTAACTCCTTCGAAGATTTCAAAAATACTTGCAGAAATGCCAATTTTACTTGTTTTTTTCATCTCACACTATAATAAATAGATGCTTTTTTTGTATATGGTATATGCCCACAAAATTGCAACTGAAGAAAAAATTGACATGCTGGAAGGAAGATTTTTATTAGAAAGTTTGTTTGAAAGCTATTGCAATTAAGTAGATTTTGTCAATTCTTGACTTTTAACAATGACCATATGTCCCTTTATTGCAAAGAGAAATAGGAAAATTCATTTATCTGCTTAGAATTTTATGCGAGCTTGCTTTACTTTGCTAAATAAGAAAGCAAAAAATTAGGAAATAGATAGAATTATAAACTGCATATCAACTGACTTGATAATTCCACTACATTAACAAAAATTTATTTGTTTATTATGAAAAATATTGAAATGAAATATTTAGTTAGATGAAGAGATGAATGCAAAATAAACATGAGGTCTGTTGAGTACCTTGAAGTAATATAAATAAATTAAATATAAACAAAAAGTTTACAAAAACTATCTATACAAATTTCAAGCAAAGACATAAGTAAAAGTAGCAGGTAGGTTGTAATTTTTTTAATTGTAATTATTTATTTTGAGTTTTGTTTTTGGCGACTATGACTTTCTAAAATTTAAGAGTAAACATACAATATTAGGGTAGATGTGCCAATAATGAGTATTCTTAAGAAATTTCTTTCAAAAGTTATTGGTATAATAAGTTAGTTTTTTAAAAAATATTAATCTATCAACAAAATTTAACAAATTTCATAGACATGGATAAAAAATTAAAAAAAAACAACAACAATATATAAATCATTCAGAGAATTATCAAAAATAAATAAAAGCTGAATTTTTATTATTTATAAACCAAAATATGAAGAGGGTACCCATTACTTGCACATCTTTCCTAGAACAAAATTCTACATATTTATTGTAGATAAATGAAGTCATAAAATTTACTTAAGGCTAGTTATTGTCACAGAATAAAATGTTTTCTATGTAAATAATTAACATATTATACTATTTATTCTGTTTATCAATATCCTATCATGTACAAGGTATGTTAACCTCACTTCATTGAGTCATTTATCACACATTTTTAAATTATGATGTAAAATAAACAGTGTTTCTGAATTTTTAGGAAGAATTCTATTATTTTGGTTTGAATACACACTTCCAGCTTTGTAAAATGGAAAAACACCTTTCGCTATATATACTGCTACCTGGAGCAGAAAAAAAGTATTTTTACTAGGCATAATGAACATTGATTTAAGGTATAAGGAACATTGAACCTAATCTTTGAATAACATTTTTTTCAAATAAAAAGTTCCAAAATGAAACATACAAAATGTTTTATTTAATTAGAAATACTAAATGATAATCCATAAGAAACAATGTATGCATATTATTCTGACAAATTTATCCTAAATTCAGAAATTATATAATAAGACAGTCTATGTATCAACGGTAATTTTAGATAATTTCTAAACAGTTAATGTGTGATTGAATATTTGATCATATCAGTTGGTTATTATTAACATTAGCTTAATTGCATAACTACTTTATACATTCGAAATAATGCTTTGTAGTACATTTTTGAAATTAAAAATATCTGCTAATTAATACAAACCCAAAAACAAAACGAATACCAAAAAAAAAAAAAAATGCAGCAAACTAAAAATGTTGTATGAAATTAAGAATATTAAAACAGGCTGCGTAGCCAAATTATTTTTTAAAAAAATAAGCACCTTTAAGTACTTTTAAAGCACTAAAAAAATATTTTTATCCTTTCCAAAAATAAATTCATAATTAGGATCTGTGTAATAATAAAAATAAAAAAAAATTTCCTATCATTTTTATTCCTATCATTTGTCTTAATTTATAAGCATAAAATCAATAAAAATTTAAAAACATTTTCAAAAACTTTACATAATCATGATAAAATAACTAGTTTCTGATAAATATTGCAGAGAAAATTGTGAAATAATGCATTTTTTTTTTTAAATTTAGAACAATCGATACAGCAAGGAAAAATCTATTTTTAAAAGATAGAAAATGAAGCACTTTTTACAAACCCCAAATAAAAAAAAAGGCACCTTTTACAGCTTTTAAAAAACGAAAATCAAAAATAAGCATCTTAAAGCCCTTTCTAAAAACGCTACACACCCTGTAAAACATATAGAGTATGAAATATTATATTTATTTATTGTGCATGAAATGCTTAAGATCAATATGTACAGCGGCTGAAGAATAGGTATTCAGAGCTTTGACCTAACTATGCTCGTGCCTTGATAGTAATTTTCACCTATTTAGTAGACAGACAAGATATAAAATACATCATACTTTTCTTTACAAATATGATCCAATAAAATAATATTTAAAAAATGTACCTAGAATAGTATATAAAACTTTAAAGTCAATTAACAGAGTAGCAATGAAGGCATCAAGGGTATGAGCATCATACAATAAAATGGAATCAATGAAATATCCAAGAAATATTCTGCATCTTACACTTTAGATTACCTGCAAATAAATTATAATGTAAAAAATATCTCAGTAACTTAAATGAACATTAAAAGATTTATGATAATTAAACAAAATATTAAAAATAATGTTATTAAGTATAGTTATTTAGTAACATTGTTCTCACACATAAAAATTTTTTTTTACTAAGATAGATGACTTTTAATAAAAAACAATGTTATTAAGTAGGTATAGTTACTTAGTAATATTGTTTTCATATCTAAAAATAAAGAAATTTGCTAAGATCCACCACTTTTACTACAAAAAAAGTAAAAAATAGACTTTCCACTAGTCAAAGTAAATTATCAAACGCTGAACTGAACTACTCTCTATGGGAATCACAACTAACAGAGGTTATTTCAAATTTTTTGTGAAATATTTTCTCTTAATTTTTTAAAAATAAAGTAAACAGATCACATAAATGGATGATCTGTTCAAAAATTTCATGAACATGAGAAAACAAGGTCTTGTTTTTATAGCCTGTAATGAGTTTCAGTTTTAAAATTATTAAATAAAGATCTCATTGATTTTAAAAGTATTTTGCGAAGGATCTGTTTTAATCAAGGAAAATACCAAACTTCAGGAATTTTAAATTTAAAAACAGACTCCCTCTTTACAGCTTTTTTTTTTTAAAAAAAAAGTATATGAAAGAGATGCTACACAAAAAGAAATTGGTGGCATATTTATATTAATTAGTATTAATTATGAAATGAAAAACTAGCATTCGTAATTTCGAAGAAAAAATTTGCTACGACAAGATTATCTTTGATAGAGGAATACAGACAGAGGTAAAATATAAACAAACACCTTTTCCTACCAATATCAATGTAAACTCAATTTAAAATTACGTTCACATGATTTAAAATAAACATTAGATTCCTTTTTATATCATTTAAGATCGCTAATAGTGTTTCGTATTTTTATGACTTTATATCAAATACCACGTTTGTATTCACAGTTTTAAATGCCACTATTATGATCAGGGTAGAAGTGACTTTAATTATACATTAGAATTCATATACGCGCAATTTTAAAATGAAACATCAAGATTCGTATTCATGTGATTTTAAAATCAAACAGCAAGATTCATATTTACACGATTTTTTAAATTATATGTATTTGCGTGACTTAAAAAAACACACATTGAGAATCATATTCACACAATTTAAACAAATAAATAAAATCTTGCATTGATATTTTTATTAAAACGTTGCTAACATTCCGTAGATAAATGCTTCCTACATACACTTTTTCTTGTTTAAATTTTAGGAATTTTTTCAATTATTTAAAAAGTGTTTTTGAACATTTTTGGATTTCTATTTTCAGCTTTTTGGTTTTTTTCTTCAAATTCATCCCTGAGGTACAAATCAATATAGAGTTCTATAAAAATTTAAAATTTTTTATTTATTTTTAAACACCAAAATGACATGGAGACAAAAGAGTTGAAACTAACTACAAGAGTTGATCAATGTGTACAGAATGTTTTCATTTTATCTAAGTCTGACTGTAGTTCCAATTTGATTAACATCAGAGCTTAGAATAGTCCTTCTCTCTGAGGCAGAATCGTGGCGACATTGTTGAAGAACATTACAGAGTTCTTACAGAATTTTTTTTTTAATTTGGAAGCAAAGAAGTATGAGTTTTTTATCTGCAGAATTTTTCAAAATATTTTCTTTCTGCAGAAATTTTTTTCCGCTTCCTGCAGAATTATATTCAAAAAATGCCTTTCTCCCATATCAGAATTGGAAAAAACACTCATGATTTTTTTCTACTTTCTTTTGAGAATAAAAATTTCTTGCAATGTCTTGCTTTAGCTAGAGTTTCAGATTGATATTATAAAAAGTATTTCCAAATAGCAAAAATATAAAAAAGGTTAACTATACAAATATTTTTTTAAAACAGGAGAATATCAGCAATAATATTAGAATATGTATTCTTTTATATGTAGATNTTACGCTTCTGACAAAAAATTCAAAACGTAGACAATTCTGTTAAAGCTCTCTCATACCACCTAATATATGTACTTTTTATATGAAAAAATACTGGTAGCTAAGATTATATTTTAATGCTTATGAAGCGAATTCTTAAATGTCCCTTTTATTCACAAGTGTTTCCATTATTTTGATAATCACCTGTATATCATATTGATATCTATATATTCAAAAAATGCCTTTCTCCCATATCAGAATTGGAAAAAACACTCATGATTTTTTTCTATTTCTTTTGAGAATAAAAATTTTTTGCAATGTCTTGCTTTAGCTAGAGTTTCAGATTGATATTATAAAAAGTATTTCCAAATAGCAAAAATATAAAAAAGGTTAACTATACAAATATTTTTTTAAAACAGGAGAATATCAGCAATAATATTAGAATATGTATTCTTTTATATGTAGATTAAAAAATATTCTCACATTTATAATTTAAAAATTAATATGTTCTATTCTATACATGATGGCTTCTTCTTTTCTTTTTTTTTACAGAAAGTGCTTTTGTTACTTTAAATTAGTAAGGTATATATTTACAACTATTTAAAATGTCTCTCAGAAAGGTCTGTACTAGAGAGAATTGTTGCAGAAAGCTCGAAAAAATTCTGCCACAGGGGTCTTTCTACACTAACTTGAGTAGGTAGAAGATCTGTTACTCTTAGAGCTACTTCTTTTAATTTTTCAGAATAGATTTTTATAAAGCCTAAATGCACAGCAGCCAACCTTAGGCAATGTTTCATTATACGTACCAATTATCAGAGTAAGACAAAAATTTAACTATTAAATAATAACACTAATATTTTATAATTAGGAATACCAGTATAATAGTTTGAAAACAACCATTACCTATTATTATACAATTATTCTTCTCCAAATCATTAAACACAGGTAAATAATAATTTACATCATAAACAAATATTTCTGATGCAAGTGTTAAAATACTACAATACATTTTTTAAAAAATAATAATAGTTGTTTAAGATTCAATTTAGTGAAATAATCAGCCTTCATTGGAATAGTAATTTCCAATAAAAAGCTACTAAAAATCACTTCTGCACAATAATCATAGGAAGCATGCTTGTGGCAATCAGAACAAGGGATTGGTTTAAAAAAAAAAAATACTGAAATTTAAGGAAAATTCAAATTTTTTTTTTATAAAAATATCAAATTTTCAGATTTGATTTAAAAATTAGGAACAAATCCCAAAAATTCTGAACAGTTGGCAGCTATGTAAATGAAGTGCTTTGTGAGAGTTATCATTAATTTTTATTTCTACAAGAGCTGTAGAAATCTTGTTTACATTTTTAAGACTCTTGGTTCTTTATTTTTATTCACTTTGCCTTAGCCTTTTCAACATTATCCAAATCTACTCAAAATCTAATTCATCATTAGAAAATGATAGACTCTGTTGCAGTCTGACCATCTTGATTTGAATACACCAATTGTTCTGAGAATAATTTCATTTTTAGTGAAAGTTGATCAATGTCTTCCTTTATCTTTTTAATATGCTTGTTATTCAACAAAATTTGGTGTTTTGGTTTTAAATATATTGAACCCCAGCAAGATCTCAAAACTAGGTTTTTCAAATTTCTTTTAATTCGCTTTAATTTTATTTCAAATTCATATTGTTCAATAAAAACTGGAGTCAGAGTTGACGTGATTATAGAAACTTAATAACTCAGTTTTCCTTAACTTAAAAATCTGCATATCTTTTAAATCAAAATTTATAGATCTCCATGAATACAAACCCCACTCCAAAGCCTAGGTTTTCATGCTATATTATTTTATGTAGGATACATTTTAACTATAAAATTGTTGTTAATGATCTGTTAAGAAACACCTGACATGACCACCCTTACTGATAAGTTAAAATATCAAAATACAAATTTTGGCAATCAAAATAACTTATTGATGGTAATACACTAGCTTAAGTCTTAATTTTGAATTAAATAATTATAAAAAATAATGTTTTTATTTGATAACTTAAAATTAAGACATTACATTGATCTTAGTGTTTAAAGTTAGCTTAAGGGTTTTGACACTTATATATTAGAAAATTATCTAAGTGTTTAAAGTTAGCTTTATGAAGATTTTGAGATCTATCATATTATAATACTCTAGATTCTTTTTTATTCCGTAAATTACACATCAGATATAAACTGCTTACATATACACTACTAAAGCATATGCATTAAGTTTTTATTTGTGTAAAATGGTCACTAGGAGAAAGAAATTGTTTTAAACAGAAAGAATTTATGAAAATAGTAAAATTTAGAATACAGACTAATAAAAATTTAAAGTAAAAAACGTAATCATGTAAACAAAAACAATGAGTAAGAAATGGAGCTTGATTATCAAATTTTTAGAGAGACTTTCAAAACCCTAGTTAGAATTGAAATAATCAATGCATTGTGCAAGATTCAGCAAGAAATGTTATGAATTGTTATAGTATAAAGTTATTTATGATATAGAAGAACAAAATATGGCTTCATTTTTTTTTGTGTCAAATATACCACACTTAAATAGTCATAGTTGGCTAATCCCACTAAAGCAAGAACATCAAACTATTACAAATTGCTAAATAGATACATTCCATTAATTTATATGAACATTTTTTAATAAAGCGTGAATAAAATTAAACATTTGTCGAAACTATGACCTTCATAAAAATATAATCTACAAAATTAAAATTTTATAGGGAATTAATAGAAATAATAATATAATAAGATTATTAAATAGCTTTTAGATTAGGTATCTGATCTGCGAGTAGTTGTAGAAAGGGACTTTCCCTTCATCAAATCTATTTAAAATTAAGTAACACATATTGAAGGAAAATTGAATGTAAAATAAAAATTCAAACCTTTAACAGGCGACATTATTTTTTTATTAAAAAAAATGCTTCGTAATTTTTTATTTCAAATTGCTGCACAGTTTTCCACCAACGTGTAGCAACTTCGGATGCTTACGTCGCAATTTAAAAGCCTGGGAATATTAATAATTAGTATATCCTAGACAATTACTTAATAGCAATGAAAAATTCAAAAAACGAAATTAATTAGAGAAATTAAAAAGATCTGTCAGATAGAAAATTAAAGTAAACATCAGCAACACAGTCACAACAACTTAGTTCAAAAGTTTCGGTTCTATTTGTAATGAAGTTGCCAAAAAAATTCCAAGAAATTCTAGATCCGGATAGGTTGTTGTTGTTGGTTGTTGTTAATTTACGTCGCACTAGAGCTGCACAATGGGCTATTGGCGACGGTCTGGGAAACATCCCGGAGGATGATCCGAAGACATGCCATCACAATTTTGATCCTCTGCGGAAGGGATGGCACCCCCGCTTCGGTAGCCCGACGACCTGCGCGCGAAGTCGAGCACTTTACGGTAGCACAGTTTAACGAGGACCAATACCGCACACCCTCGGTCCCTACGCAGACTGATTCAAGTGGTCACCCACCCGCACACTGACCGTAGCCAGTGATGCTTGACTTCGGTGATCTGCTGGGAACCGTGTCTTAACGATCAGTCCACTGCGGGACCCGGATAGGTCCGATGCTGAACTTTGAATCAATCAAGAGCCAATCTCACTGAATTGAAAGTGCGTGAACCGCATTCACTGAGAGTAACCTTACAGATAATCTTTCTCATCTTTTGTGCGAACTTGATGGGCCATTCTCACTAAATGCAGTTCATGAACTTCCAATAACAGTTGAGAGAGAAGGAAAACTTGATACGTAAAAATAAAACTCAAAAATTGGGTTCTCCATTTTTCCAGTGATGATCGGAAGTGCCTGAGCCACATTAAGTGAGAATAGCTCTTGAGGATCCGCACGTGAATGTGAACCTGATTGAAGAGTTCACAGTTCACACGCTAGTCAACGGGATACCTAACCAGATTGGTTAATAATCAGAGTTGTTTCATGGATAATTATCGGGGTTTTCGAATACAGTGCAAATTGTCCTTTATATGCAGCTTCTAAATAGTATTTTCAGCAATTGGATGCAATGTGAAGGATACTGAATAACTACATTCTCATCCAACTACATTCTCATGACAATTTGATTTAATTTTTCGGGTCAATGGAGAAGCTGCGCCTTTGAGATTAATGCATATCCGAAATTCAACGATTCGAAAAGTGATTTAAATTCACGATCACAACTAATACGTCACTTTAGGAGAAGTCCAGTTCTATATTTTGACCCTTCCCTCTCCTCCTCTTCTCAGTTCTGGCAATGTAATTGTCAAAAATATTTTCTAAAATTTCCCAGATGCTTTGCTCAAAAACTATGTTTAATGGAGTTATGCGTTCCAAGTAGTTAAAAGTCTTTAATCTGTTCGGAAATCAAGACAGAAATTGACTAACTTCCTTAAGCGAACCCTGAAAAGCGTTGTTATTGGCGATCGAAATGGGCTGCAGGTGACGTAGGGGCAGAACTCTCTACCTATGGCATAGGTCAGTTTCTCTTTTGATTTTCTTGTAGATTAAAATCTTTCAAGTTGGAAAACTATATGGAACTGAAAACTACATTAAACATAGTTCTAAAGAAAACTATCACGGAAATTTCAAAAAAATATTTATATTAACTAAAAATTGTCATTTCTATACAACTGAAAAGAGGAGGAGAGGGAAGGGAGAAGGGCTAAGGGCACGAAACCGGTCTCTCCCCAGATGGCGTATTCGAGTGTTGCGATTGCCAATCTACGTTTTTCCATCTGCGTCAGAAACGAAACTATTCACTTTCATGGAGGGGAAATTTAAAATTGCAGGGCTGAAATTCCACATACTTGTTGCTCTGAGAACGAAATTTATGAAAGGAACCTTTTTTTTTAATGGGCAGAGTATTATTACACTTTTAAACACTTTTCAACAAAATAAAAACTATTTTTTTCTACTATTTTTTGAAAAAAGATTATAACTTGGATCCAAAGTTTTTGGCACAATTTTAAAGAGTAACATTGTCTTATAAAAATATCGGTTTCGGGTTGCGGCTTTGGGAAATGAATTTAAGTCTTCTTTGTATAATCCCCCCCTGCCGTTACTTTTTCGCCTAAATAATACACTGGTGTGCAAAACTTAAGCAACAAGTGGTTTTTCGGCCACAGCTCCCCAACAAAGTATAAGATAGCCATGAAATTGCAGTATAATATGCACGTAATTCAGTAGAAAGATTATTTGTATGCAAATTTTAGAAATAAAACGTCGTAGGTGATGTAAGTGTACGTAAACCTTGTGGGTCGGCGCGCGCAGGTCAAAGCTGTGATAAAAGGATGAAGAGCACCGTAGTTAAAGACATTCGCTGCAAGTGCAAGTGATTTGTTTTGTGAAACATGTCTTCAAGAAATCATTTAGACGACTTTACTCGAGGAAGAATGATTGGGAAGCTTGAGGAGGGGCGTAGTGTGACCAGTGTCGCCGAAGAGTTCGGGATCAACAAAAGTGTTGTTTCTCGTGCTTGGAATGCCTTTAAAACTACTGGTACAGCTGTTCGGAAGGTTGGTGGTGGCCGTCCAAAGAAAAAAACACCAAGAGATGACCGTTACATTGTCCTCCAGGCGAAAAGAAACCGTTTTCAGTCAGCGATCGCCATATCTCAGCAACTGTGCACAGCCACAGGACAACAAGTATCAAGATTTACAGTGGCCAGACGCCTCCACAAAGGTGGTTTATTTTCTAGACCACCTGAACGCTGCATACATTTAAAATTTAGCCATCGGTGGCACCGTTTAGAGTGGTGCAGAGTACACGAAACCTGGACACCTCATCAATGGAGTCGCGTCCTCTTCACAAATGAGAGTCGTTTTAGTGCTACAAGCGATTCTCAACGTGAGTTGATCTGGAGAGAGGTTGGAGTTCGATTTCATCCCAATAACGTCGCGGAAAGAGATCGTTATGGTGGTCCTGGAGTTGTCGTCTGGGGTGGCATTATGTTGAACGGGCAGACTGAGCTTCAGATCTTCGACCGAGGTTCTGTAACTGGAGACAGCTACTGCAATGAGGTAATCCTACCCCATGTGCGTCTGTTCTGAGGGACCATTGGACCAGACTTTATTTTTATGGATGACAATGCCCGGCCACACTGTACTGCTAATATTCAAGAGCTACTGGAAGGTGAAGATGTCACACGAATGGACTGGCCAGTTTACTCTCCAGATCTAAATCCCATAGAGCATGTGTGGGATGCATTAGGGAGACGTCTTGCGACACGACAGTATCCTCCTGGTAACATCCATCAGCTGAAAGATGCGTTAAAGGAGGAATGGAGACGTTTACCCCAAGAACTCCTGGATAATCTGGTGCTTAGCATGGAGAGACGATGCCAAGCAACAATTACAGTAAGGGGAGGGCATATCCCATACTAGGAAACATCTGCCAGTTGTACTTACGCTTCTTCAGCCGATCATGTGTAACGCCACTATATGTCAAATAAAGCCTTTTTTTTGTTCCATACCCTACTTTAAGCTTTATATTCATTTCTGCGCCATTATTCTTTTACAGTAGTTTAAGTACAAAATAACGTACATCATATTCAAATTTCATGTCAATCGGATGATTTCTTGTAGAGTTATGACAAAAAACGCACTTGTTGCTTAAGTTTTGCACACCAGTGTATATTCCAAATTTTTTAAAAAATTTTTTTCATTATTATTCAGAAATAGTTTAACACCGATACACTTAAGGCTGAGAAAAGAGTCTGCGAGGCAAAATTTGGAGTTTTGCAACACGAGAATAATAATAAAATTATTGAAATTAGTTGGTTGTGTATAAATACACAACAATGTGGAATGTTAAAGCAATGGCTATTAAGCTTGGTTTATTATCACGATGATATATTTGGATACTTACTAACGATGTCAAGTGAGGGTTTGATACCCACGCGTGATGCTTCTTGCAGGTACCCAATTATGAAATGAATATTTTAAGGGTGTCCTTTCTATCGTTACGATTTCGAGAAATTTTTCCCCAAAATAAAAACTATTTTTAACTATCATTTTTGCAAAAAAATTACATTTTAGATGCAAAGTTACGACACTCTTTAAATGAGCGACGCGATAAAAACTATATATTCTTATTACAATCTATTTAATCGAATTTTAAGTTTTGCCAATTAAAAATGAAACAGTTAAAATTTTATAATTCAATAACATTTCAGCATAACAATTCATTAACAATTTTTCTTTGATTTTAAATTTTGTAACGAAAAATGCTGCAGATTATTTTATTCATTAAAACAATGGGTAAACAAAATTTTACATATTAGGTTCAAAATTATTTTGATCTGTTATAAGCTTCGCATTTATGCCGAAATAAGCATCATCGCTGTTTTTAGTGCTTTTAAATTTTTTGAGGTTATTGAAAGTTACTTTGATATTTATTATCCCATAGACGGGTTTCAGTATCCCGATCTATTTCAGTGAATTTTCCATCACATTTTTGCGAGTTAAAGTTAGTTTATAACAGAATTCAACCATCTTACCACTTGTTTTTTGCGGAAAATATTTCTCAGTAATAATGAATTCGGACAGATATTTTCAATACTAAATAGAACTTTTTTCCAAAAATGTTTTTATATTCACTTTTGTATATTACCATAAGTGTTTGTCAGATTTTTTTTTATATCTGTGTTTGAATAATTAATTATTTATTGTTTGATTCTTAAAATTCTTTTGTATTAAATTTATTTCTTAAAAAAATGAAGCTATGAAGCGTAATTTTTGCTTTCACTGAGAAAAATCTTCAGTGGAAATTACGAAGCAGTTTATGAAGGCCATGGGGTAATATAATGATAAACCAATTATTTCACTTTGCTCAAGAAACGCATCACGAATTCCTTGTAGGTAAAATGAACTTGTTGCACATTTTGCTGCCATTTGGTGGATTTCCTACAAACTTGTAAAGTATCGATTTAAAAAATATTACATTTATTATTAAAAAATATTAAATATTATTTTTAAGTAAAAATTTGTCACGTGGAAAATGTGTGTCTATAATATCTACAATTAGGTTAGCAACACTTAATTTAGCCTCAATAGCCACAGATAAGAGTTATGGCTAAGATAAGTTAGTTATGCCTAAGAAAAAAATACTTTCCTTCACGAAATTTTCCCACTCTTGTCTATTTTAATCGAATTCTTTTAATAATCAATAAGGAGCAGTGTTGGCTGAGGGGGTAAAGCACTCGCCTCTCAATGAGGTGAACCGGGTTTGAATCAAAACGATGGCTGGTCGATTCGAATTCGGCCACAATGTTGATGTAAAATATCCTCAGTGGCAGACGTATTATGGGTTAAAGTCCTCTTGTCGTTGGTTAACCGAGGTGATTTTCTTCTCCATGCAATGCAAATGCGGGTTATTTCAATTAGAATTTCTCCCAAGATGGCTAGTTTATCCCAATGCTTGATCCAGGAGTTACCTTGTTTTCTGATCTGGGTTCACAATTACAAGAGGGTAGAGTTGAACATCGTCTGGAGTCGTAAATTCAGAATGGGATCAGCTGTTCAACGACGGTTCTGTAATAAAGGTATCCATCTGGAAAAAATAGCAAGGAAGTGTTTGATGTAAAAATCTCACTATTATCACTTTAGAATGTTCCGAATTTAAATTTCTTCTAATTCTTGATCCAAGAGTTTCCTTGCCTCTGGATTGGGCTCAAAAGTATAAGGCTACGGAGTTGAACATTTACAGTCGTAAACTCAGAATTGGGTCGGCTGTTCAATAATGGTTATAAAACAAAATAAAATAGTATGTAAAAAATTTCTTAGAATTCTCCACGTTGTGATAAATTTGTTTGTGTGACTGTCTGGTTCCCTTCATCTATTTATTAGTTGTTTTATTCCTTGTTCAAGAAAATATGTACAATACTATTTTATAATAATTTTTTATTTGGTTTATCTTTCAGTACATTTTATATAAAATATCTAGACAATGTATAAAATATTAGAATGTCCTATCTGGTAATGTAAGAAATATTGAACCTGTTGTTAATTTTGCCCAGACATTGCATGAAAGGCTAAATTTTTCTGCCAAAACACAGTTCATCAAACTTTAAAAATGAGAGATTTTTTTTTTTTTACTAAAAAGGAGCGCTTTCTTCAGAATAACCCGTTGTAGTTAGGCAATAAAAAGCTGTATAATATAGTTTATATACTTAGAGAGTAAAGCTTAAAATGCAACCCTTTCATTAGAATACCTGGCGTTTAGTATTTATTTAATTTTGCTGTTTTCCGCTTGGTCTTTTGGAATTGTATAGAATACCAAGACAAAAGCGAGATAATAATTATTTTATATTACGTAATTTTAGGCAAACTGAACACCACTAAGCTATTTAATAAAAAAAATCTGATTTCTATGCATTTTGTTGATAACTTATATAATAAAAACAATGGACAATTGTGTAATTTATTTAACATTTATTCTAAATGGTATTTTTAAATTATATAATGCTACAAAAAGAAGCAAACACTGTATGGAAAATACATTGGATTTTTTAAAAGGAGAAATTAAACAGAGAAAATTACATAAAATTGCCTTACATGTTATTCATAGTTTTATCACAACGTTCTAATGATTCTATTAACTTTACGACTATCAATTTATAAATGAAAATTATTTGAAATTACATAATCATATTGAATTGGCAATTAGCACAAAATAGTAAAGATACAATTTTATAGACCATGCTAATAGTTTAAAAAAATGCCCACTCTCCACATAGAAGAATATGTCTTTTAAAATATCATTTGAGCACAATTACAAATATTTTCAGAACTACAATAAATTATTCATACAAAAATTTTTCATCCCCTTCTCTGAAAGACTTCTTTGTCTGTAATCTCTTAATGATTTTAATGCAAATAAGCACTACCTTTGCAGTTGTTTATCTACTCTTTGACACAAAAGTGTTTTTTTTTTACCGTTTCAGTCGTACGTCTATTTTCAGCCAACAAAGCTTTTTTTACCGTTTCAGACGTGTCTACTCTCACTAAACAATGCTTTATAACGTTTCAGTTGTATGTCTATACTCTCAATTAACAAAGCTTTTTTTTACTGTTTCAGTCGTATGCCTACTCTCAATAGACAGAGCTTGTTTACCGTTTTAGTCGTATGTCTACTCTCAATCAAAAATGCTTTTTAACCGTTTCAATCGTATATCGGTTCTTAGCCACCAAAGCATCTCTAAGTATTGAAAAATAATGTTTACTTCAGCCGATAACATTTGAAAATGCATGAAATTTCCATTATCTGATACAATGTGTTCATTCAACAAAAATTAGGATGATTACAATCTAGTAAACTGATTACAAAGGGGTTAAACGCAACGGAGAGATTTTGCACTTTCAAGAAACATCTCACACGGTCAAGTACGTTGGCTCAGTACAAGCTCAGAACCCGTGTAATTCTGTAGTAACTGCGATGAGCAGAACTTACGTACGTGAACATGGAGAATGCTACATGGAAAATGCAGTCTCTTTATTTTTACATTAAATGCATTATTCACACAAAAAAAGTTAGTACACAAAATACATAAATTCAGAAATCAATGGATAAATAGTTCACTAAAAACTTTTGAAACAGACTCACAAACATTGAAGATTCAGAATTCTGTCCATAGGAACGTAAATGTAGTTAACATTGTTTTGCATCAAACTTTACATTTTGATCAATTGATGGTATCAAAGAACGTATATTTGAATTTCTCATTCACTCAACCGATTGCACTCGCGTTTAGTAAATCTACTAAAAGTGTTCCCTCTTCTAAGGAAGATACTACGTTTTCAGGGACAGGCTATTATTCTTTATAGACTTATGATCGCACGTACTCCGTTCGTCATGCTTTCGGTCTAGTTTACGGATGAAGAAATCTTCGGTTTTGGTGCTTTTGCTCTAGAGGTTATGTGACCAGAAAATACACTTTGCTCGTTACGCTGCTTAATAATTTTTATAACTTCAAAGGAACAAATAAAGTTTTTTTTCTTTAACCCTTTACTTTGAAGCACAACTTTAAATTTATCGAAATAGCAATGATTTCTCATAATAGTCTTGGGATCATTCTTAAAACTGTACATAATGACTCATAAAAATCATCAATCATCAACTTTTTGTCGCCTCATCAATTCCTACTTCACTTTTAAAGTTTTTCCAACTGGCAAATCGTTTCTCCACAAATAAATACCCGATGTATCCTAGACTGGATATAATCAGAAGAACGTATATTTTAATGGATGTGCAGAAGTAGTTGCTGTAGGCGAAAGACAAACAGAAGCCAAGTGCGTACCACACATGAAAGGCTGAAAAGGCAGCTTCTTCCTCTGCTTTGAAAAGCACTCCATAGAAGGCTGAAAAGAAATATTAATGCATTTATGTTTATAAACAGATAATAATATATTAATTAATAAAATGCATCGCATTGTTGTTCGTGTTTTCAAGTTTATAAATATATAATTGGCAAGTTATTTAACTTTCAATTTAATTTCTTCTATAACACTTTGCGTGTATTTAAGTTATATCATCTAAAGATGTTTGTGTTTGGTATTATTTTGTCACACAAGAGCTGCACAAAAATTTTTTTTCCCTGAGATTATGTCATGGAGGGAGGATTCGTACCCACCAGAATTCCTCTTTAAAACAAATTTTCAGTTAATTATTTTTTTCTAGTACAGAAATGTCTAAGCTGACGTCACTCCTTTTACCTGTCCACTGGAAATCCATCAATGATCAATCAGTTACAGATGCAACCAATAGGAATACGTTTATATTGGGATAGGAATACGAATAGTTCAATAGGAGAAGTGCAAACGTTATTGTTTGAATGATAGTGAAACTTAGATTTAGTTCAGTTTCTTACTTGGTCATTGAGATGTCCAAACTAGAGGCTGAACAGTATCATTGAGTAAAATAAATAAATCAATTGTAGTCTGCGTCATTGCTATTGGACGATTCATATTCACATCCTAATATAAGCGTATTCTAATTGGTCGCTATCTGTAACTCATTGATCATTGATGGATTTCTAGTAAATAGGTAAGTAAAGTGATGTCAGTTTAGGCCTCACTAATAGAGCTCCAAGGGAAATTTAAGCATCTTCGCTTTTCAGGAAGTGATGGAAATTTCGAATGGTGATAAATTATGGTGATATTCGAATGGTGATATTCGAATGGTGAAGGTCAGAAAATGATCGAAATTCATATTTTCTTGAGGTACAAAGGTTCAGTTCGAATCTGCGCCTTCTAATGTGTTAATATTAGAGAAATCTCGCAGAGTGTCACGGTTTCCCTCTTAATTTAATGCTAATACCATTGCAGCTTCATATTACAAGTGAGAGTTTTTTTTTGCTTCACAAATCACAGAAATGTTAAATGGTAAAAAATAAGAGGATAATTGCGATTTACACAAGACAAACGCTGCGTGAAATTTCTCTATTCTTCTTTCGCGAACAAAGAAAGTTAATTAAAATACATGGTAAAAAAAATATATTTTTTTGTTGGAATCATAGTGTAAAGTTTATGTGGTTTTATATCTGTCTACGCAATGTGGGGTTTACAATAATAATAATAATGAAATGTAGCAAATTTTGTTACAGATAATCTTTAACTTTGTTATAGAGTTTTTTATACTCCTGGTTGCCGGTGAATCCCTTTTTTTTGTATCATTGGTTTTTAAAAACTTACACCGAATGTATGCTTTTCAATAATTCCTATAAAAACACTTTTGAGCAGCGATGGCTCAATGGATAAAGCATTCGGCTTCCAATGCGGCGAATCGGGTTCGAATTCCGCATCCAGCTTGCACAGACCACAGTGCAGACGTGAAATAGCCTCAGTGGTAGACGGATCATGGGTTAGAGTCCCTTTGCCGTCAGGCTAACCGTGGGAGGTTCTCGTGGTCTTCCTCTCCATGTAACGCACATATGGGGTAGTTCCATCAAAAAGTCCTCCACGAAGTAAAATTTTTCCCAATGCTTGATAAAGGAGTTCCCTTGTCTTCTGGATTGGGTTCAAAATTACAAGGCTACGGAGTAGAACATTAGAAGTCGTAAACTTAAAAATTGGTTCAACTGTTCAATGACGGTTATAAAATAAAATATAAAAATACTTTGATGCAATAATATGCTTGAATTTGAGTTGATATAACATGTGTAATACCTCTCAGCTGAGACCATATAATTCCTACGAAAGCACCCCACATTCCAGCAAATATAAAAAATATTTCAGGATGATGAGGATCTGGACTCCAAAGAAGTAACAGAATATTTGACGCTATATTTAGAACAGCAGCAAATGTAAAAACCGGTATTCGATTAAATAGCTTTACTAGCCAGCCTGAAGATGATGCAAAAACTGCACAGAAGAATCCGTAACATATTGAAACAAGTGCAACGTGGTACGTTCCCCAAGCACAGCCAATGAACGCCTGTAAAAGTAGATTACATTAAAAAAAATCATTTTTTGCACATTATAAATAATAATACACCATTAATTACATTTGTATTTTTTTCGAAAATTCGTTAATTATATGATGAGGTATCGTTTATTAACTAGCTTGTGTTGCAATATAAAATTACCACATTCTCTAAAGAAGTCAAATTCGCTACCTTAATTATAGATAATTATATTACGAGATATCGTTTCTTATGTGGCTTGTTAAATCATTAATTATAATACGAGATATCATTTATTGGTTGGCTTGTTAAATTGTTAATTTTATGAAGAGATATCGTTTATTATCTGGCTTGTTAAATCATTAATTATATGAAGAGATATAATTTATTATCTAGCTTGTTAAATCGTTAATATATGAAGAGATATCATTTTATTATGTGGCTTGTGTTACAATATAAAATTTGCTGATTACCCTATAGAAGTCCTATTCTCTTCTTTAAAAAGACGTTATATTACAGGGTAAACGCTTCTTGGTAAATCCTGTTTTACCTACCTGAGTAATTTAAAATACAGAGCGAAGTTGGTTCAGGTAAACCATAAAGTTTCAAATGCTGAAAAGTTTTTCTTCAAAATATTAAAATGCAAGCAAATGATGGCAGAATTACTCAGAATTGAGCATCAGGGAAGTAAACCTGCCATAATAGGTTCGCATTTTGACATTTCGAGAAAAATATTCAAGATTTGAAACTTCAGGGTTTATATTATGGTTTATCCAAACCCACGTTTTCTATATTTTAAATTTTTAATTACCATTGTTAGTAAAACAGAATTTGTTACGAAGCGCTTCTCAATAAATTGTTAGAAGGGGAAAATGATTTGATAAAGATTTTTGTATTGAATTTTAATCATAAAAGAAGTTAGAAATACTTGCTTATAGTATAAGAACCATAGTGTCTTCATACACCCATTTCCTCTTTTAAGTATCTCTTTTATGGCTATAATTTAAACTCCACATAATTTTAATCTTGGTCTGACTACGTGGTAGGCATATAAGCTAGTACCCTTACAAAATTTCGACAATGCAATAATTTTCACCGTATATACTTGCCGGACCTATTGTTGTACTCAAGTGTGAAGTTCATGACTTACAGCTCTTTACCACAAAAGTGAATTGCCCTCCAACTGATTGTGATCCTGGTATGTGAACTACTATTTTTTTAGTTGAATCTTGAGGAGGCAATATTAACTAATGTTTAATAAACTGCAGAAATAATGAATTAATACGCATAATGCAAGAACTCATCCGAAACTATAAACTAAGATTAACGGAGTTAGCCATTGAGTGGAAGCAGTAAAGTAATATTCGGTGAATTGAGCAATGAGTTGAAGCCTAAAACTAATATTTATTGATTCGGACAATGAATACCAGTTGCAAACTAATATTTGTTGAATTGAGCCTTGAAGAGTTGTAAACTAATATATATTTTTTTAACTGAGCATTGAGACGAAAATAGAAATTTTAAACCGATTACGATTTCGAGTGTGAAACATTGGTGTTTTAAGTATATGGGCTATTATTATCTAAATAGCGTGGAATCAGGCCCAATAAGCCTAATCTTAGGACCCACGATTAGAATTTTTTTTTAAATCTTTAAACTGCAGTCGGAATTCTATTTAACGAACTTCCATTCTACGAATTTCTCTATTTTACGAATTTTTTCGAGGAACCAAGAGCATTTTGGAAATTTTTTTGTAAAATAACTTCCATTTAGCGAAGTGAATTATTTTCCATTTAACGAACTTTTCATTGAGATCTACTTTCCCTATTTTCCGAAATATTTCTTAACATTTTAAACTTGTTAAGGCAATTTATTATGGGGGAATTGACCTTGAACTAATTTTCGAAGCCACTGCTTTTTGAAATGTATTACTGTTTTCTCTAAAAATTATCTTAGACAGAGCAGTAAATTCCCTTTCCCTTTTTGTTTGCATTTCAAACGAAAAATTCAGTTCAAATTAACGGATTTTATCCGTATCAATTTAACTTAACGCATGCGGTAATGTATGCTTAAAATAACTTTTATAATAAATGCAACTATAATTTTATACATAAATTTACTCTTTTTTTAGTTGAAAATGTATATAGCATGATAGTGTAACACCGGATAATGTTTTGCTCTATTCTTGCTTTTCATGCAGATTTCTTTTATGGTTAAGATTTATAAATAAATAGTAGATACTAGTTTACAAGATAAAAGTGCATCAATTGCTATTTTAATTATGTCTAGTGTTTATGNTAATTTCATGACTACTGTATTCAACATATTTTCGAAACTATTGTTTACCATGTTAACAGCTGCATAAATACTTGAAACTTTGAAAATAATCTTTTTTTAAAACAACAATTAATGTCCGATGGCCCATCGACTTGAAAAAATATTCTATACATATGAAATTGACTGTGGGCGGGGCTACCCGACTCTCCCCTATTTGTCTATATTTGCATAACGGTTATAAAAAACAACTGTTAATGGAGATTTGAAATATTGACTGACAGAATTGTTTCTTCATGCGAAGTTACACGCAAACACAATAAATTATCCGAAGCGTAAACTAAAAGGAATCAAAAGTTTTCTTAAACGACTGATTTTTTCTTCACAATGAGCCATTCAGAATCAAATATCTTAAGATTTACCTTGTTAAATTCTCCTGCAAAGAAACCTTGTGCTTGTCCAATATAAAACGATGACGGAATTAACAGCACCAAATCGAGACGTTTAGCCAAGTTAAATGTTGCCATCAACAAATCTAAAGAGAAAGTAGCTTTCTTGGAATCTGAATCTAATGGATCCAGAAATACAGCCACAATTATGACAGATAAAATGCCCAATGCAACACAAACCGAAGTTAAAGTTATTCTTATCTCATCCGATATCTGGTCCACGTTTTGCGTAAAACAGTTCGACTCGATGTTGCAGTATTCAGCACCGCACACACAAGTGTAGTTGCTTAAAGAATTCTGAGGATCAATTCCACTCTTCGTAATGAAGTACGAAATCATGTTACCAGATAAATGGCATATTAGGTATGACATACCATGGATGCCAAACACACGAGCTGTCACAGACTCGATCTCTTTCTTCCTTATTGCCAAATTACTGTTATTTGGCGATGTTTGAGAGTTTTCATTGAAAATATTATCTGTTTTGGAAGGTACGTTGAAATCTACGTTTGATTTTTCATCTACGATCACAGTTTCTGCAGAATTGTAGAGATTACCAATCCCATTTGATCTCTCGACATACCCATCTTCATTGGCAAAATTGTTTGCAATGTTTGTTGAGGTGGAAGATTCCCTATTGGAATATCTCTTCCTTTCTGAATTAAAGTCATTCTGAGAAATGACAGTTTCTTTAAGATTTTTATCAGAATAAAACATATTTGACTCATTAGATCCTCTTTTGGATCTTATGTTTTCTTTCTTCGAAAGGTTTAATTCAGCAAACATTACAGATATATCATTTAGATAAGTTGCTTGAGAACCCCACAAAGTTGCTGCACCCAATCCAATTAATATAGATGTGGGGAGCATTAGTGACCAATGAGGGTAATAGTTTGCCGCTATGTATGGAATGTAAGTCAACATGGAAGCGACAAAAGTTGCTTTGCTTCCAAATCTTTTAATTATGTATTTTGGAAACAGTAAGGAAGATATGCAGAAAGCGGCGTAGTCTATTGCTTGGCAAATGACGCCGATACCTCCTTCCTTGTTCATTGTGCTCTGTAACATAACAGGTCCATCATATGCAGTAAAAAGGAAGAAGACACCAAAGCAAACTACTGCAATGTTTTTAATCATTCGCTTCTTGCTCATACAGCCTTTGGAGTCTTCGTGGAGGATTTCTGTTCTCTCGTTAAACTCTTTCTTTCTTTGCGTCATGGTGAAGATTATTGGTGAGACCTGCTTATATCATGTCACCTAAAAATAAAATAAGTTTAAAAAAGTCACTAAAATTTGTGATAATTTACAAGAAGTTTATAAGGCATGCTGAGATAATAAAGTAATCTATAATAGACTCTCAAATATAACATTAAGTTTTTTGAATACCTTTCCTTTTTAAGAAGCAGTATCCAAGTTTAAAACTTAGTATATATTAGCGACAATTTACAAGCAGTTTATAAGATATGCTGGAATAATAAAATAATCTATAATAGACTCTCAAACATAATATTAAGGTTTTTGAATACCTTTCCTTTTCAAGAAGCAGTACTCAAGTTTAAAACTTAGCGTATATTAGCGACAATTTACAAGCAGTTTATAAGGCATACTGAAATAATAATTTAATCTATAAAAGACTCTCAAATGTAACACTAAATTTTTTGAATACCTTCCAAGAAGCTTTAGCCAAGTTTAAAACTAAAATTACTCATAACTACTAAAAATACTTTAGCAATTTTTAAATTTTGAATTTAAAATCAAAACTTATATTACATTTTTGTTTCAATACAAGTAATACATTTCAAAGTAGTAAAATAATCAAAGAGATAATATTTTTCTCAAACATGCGAAAAGTTGTGGTCAGTTTAAACGTTAGACTTTTTATCCAGAAGAATAAAAAAACGTCATTTTTTTTCCTTGTTTGTTCGAGATGGAAAAGTTATAAGGATTGCTTCTCTATATTACATTCAATTGCAATTTTTATCAGTTCTGTTCTCTTTTTTTCTCTCCCAAAACATTTAATTTCTTTTAATGAAAAAATGACTTTCTTTTACCAGTTCGGACAATTATTCTTTTCATTAAGTTTTCCTTCCATGAAAAAAAGGAGAAAAGAAACTAACATGCTGAAAAATTAAAATAACACACATATACAAAATATATAAAAATAAAACAAGATTTATCCTCCACTTTTGTCCGTAAATTTTAACTTCTGAAATCATTTGTTTATTAGCAAATTAGAGAAAAAATATACATTAAAAAAATAGTTAATAGAAAAAAAGATTTTTTAGGTTAAAAGAGAACTTCTTAAACGAAAAAATTATATTTATTTACAGAATAAAGTGATTTGTAAATTATTCGCAAAGTGAACGAATTTGTTTATATATTTTTAAGTGAATTATACGTTTTTTGGATGACCATTTTTTGCTACAATTCGACGTTTTAGCTTTATGTAAATTTTACGAATGGTTAGTAAAATTTAAAAGTGAAATATACGTTTTTTTTTTTTTTACGTAAAATTGATAGCTCTCTGTTACATGTAATCCCTCGCAGTTGAGTAGTTTAAAAGCTTCCTTTGGCGGGAAAGTGTTTAAGTCAATGCGTTTGAGTCATTCAAATTAGGTAGGTTTTATGAATTATATTTACAAAAAGTAATAAAAATATCACTGCACTTTTTTTACAAAAGTAATAAACTTTATAATAGTAAAAGTAATAGTACTTTTTTACAAAAGTAATAAGAATATCACTGCACTCAAGAATGTAAATATTACGTAAGCAAATATCTAAAGAGAAGAAGAGTTATAATTTGTCTAAAATAAGAACTCCTCTAGACATTCGTCTGGACCTGTGGCGGTGACCATGGTAACGAGGTATGACTATTTCAAGTAGGGGTGTGGGGTCACTGTTTTGGAGTGGTTTCGGTTCAGGTCGAGAGAAAGAGAAACTCTTCTTTCTATTGTGTTATTCCAAGAGTGAAGCTACCTTCCCTAAAATGCGCCATTCTTGTATCCATAGCAACAGACAGCCTCCGATTTTGTGGTGGGAGGAGTTCTTAGCTTAGACAAACTATACAATTAGCTTATTTCTGCTGAAAAGGAGGGCAGAAAGCATGTGAAATGCTTACGCTGTACAATAAATTCTTTCAATCGAAAAAACTTTTATAAATTGAAAAAAAAAAGTAAACTTCGAGGAGGCGTTAAATTTAAAAAAATTCCTACATAAGCCTTACGTTTGCGTTTTCTAATTTCTAATGATCAAGGAGTTTAAAATCAGTTTTTATAAAATAGTTTATCATCATAGAAAAATTATATTAGTTTTTAGTATACTTTTATTTCCATAATATTAATGCATACCGAATATAGACAACAATTTTTTTAAAAATTAACATTCTTTAAATAAGTTAAGTGTGTATTAACTTAGTTCATTCTTAGGTAAAACAAGATTTTTCACTTAATTCGCAGTAAATTACTTGAAACTAAATAATAGATTTGGAATTATCCATCTTTAATATTAATCAATTAACAATAATGATAATGATTGTGACAATAGAAATATAATAAATAATAATAATATAATATAATAATATAATGTAATATAATAATATAATAATATAATAACTATAATAATATAATATAATAAAGAAAAGTTGACTTCATTAAAAGTAGCACGTACCCCTAAAAAAAGTAAAAGTACCCCTAAAGTCTTGATCACATTGGAAATGGACTTATACATCTCCACTTATGAATACGAACTTATAACGTGAATGAGGATTATATAGAATTTAAAGATTTTAAACTTGTCATTCTATTTTGTGTTTTTCAGAGTCACATGAGTAAATTAGAGAACTTTCAAGGTTAGACAACTTTCATACTAAATATAGAATGTGATATCTGACCAAAACAGTACACAAAGATGACTTTTTACTTTAGATTTTTTACTTTAAGACAATTTTTTGTCTATTCACTCTTAAAATTTCCTAAGAAAGTTTAAAAACTAAAGCTAATTCAACAATTGATTACAGAATTCCATAATTTATTTGCTACTTAATTTAAAGTCTTGAAATTTACATCAAGTTTAAAAATGTTCTGTTCTATATGACCATTTTCATTACTGTTAAAAAATAGGAATTTAAAATTTATACAATCATTTAGTAATCTATCATTACTATTATTTTATATATCTCTGTATTTAATTAATTTTCAATGTGATTATTGCGAAGATGTTCTATAAGAAGATTATACTTTAATCAAAATAAAGAAAAAAAATTTAAGTTAGTTAAATTTTTTAACAGAGTTTATGTATACATGTCATAATTGCGTGAAATGTAAGAGGTTGCAAGTAATCAATCACTTTTTGAATCAATTGTAATCGCCATTATAAGAAAATATCAGTATACAGAATTTTAATCGTAACAAAAGTAATAATAAGTTGTAACTAGAATTGTAATCATAATTTACAAGAAGTTGTGTTTACAACATGGAAAAACAAATTCGACTAAAATTACCGTAATAACATTTCTGGTAAAAAAAATAAATAAAAGAAACAATCCTACATGCAGTTTTCTAGTAATTAAAGCCAAAATATATGGTATTAAAACTATTAATTTGGTAATTTTTCCGTTTCTACGGTAACGGTTTACCGAAAATTCTGGTTTTCAAAATTAAAGTTCTTTTACTACACATTTAGTAAAAAACACAAAACAAAAAGTTATTATTTTACCGAATAAATTGTTTTTTTGCCATGGACTAAAGTATCATTATGAAATTACTAAATTTTACTACAATTTTACCAAAATCATTACCAAAGCGCTTCCGTAAAAATTCCCATAGAGCCAGAAACTCGGTAGATTTTACCATATTCTGGTAGTTTTGATCACAATTTTTATTTTCGTTGATCTACGATTAACGTTAATCATGATCTACGATTACAAATAAATATAATTTACGATTACAAATAATCATGTATATGATTACACGTAATTATGATATCAGATTCATTCTTACGTAATTAACAATTTGTATGGTAATTATGATACAATTATGTTAAAAAAATTTTTTAATAACCTTTTATTACGACAGCCCTTAAGAAAGGCTCTTTTTTATACAACCTCACAGTAATTCCTAATTACGACGGATTTTAAATTTAATTAATGAGAAAAAGAAGAAAAAAACATGAGCTAATTAAATCAACAATATTATGGGATAAAAAATTCTGAAGTGGAAAATATTATTTTTTAATTATTGCTTATGAAAGGAATTAATATTATATAGTACAAGTTATAAATTAAAAAAAAAAGTTTTATTTAAGGTAAATTTTTTAGTTTCAGTACGTGCGAACCAACAAGTTTTTCAGAGGATTAGCAATAAAATCGTAACATTTGTTAGTAGAGATGCACTTTTTTATATATCTGAGTTAAAATTATTATTATATTGCATTTAAATAAAACTCATAAAAAATTGTGCACAAGCATTTATGAAATAAATGAGTATGGAATCAAACCATGATATTGTTCGAATTACCTGTCCGTGAAATAGTAACATAAATGTTAGAAAATGTCAACATGCAAGAAAGTAAACTTATGCTCAGCGCAATGCAATATTCATTAAGTTTAAAATTGTGGAAATTATTTTTCAGAGGAATCAAAATGAAGTATTTCTTTTGGCATGGTTTCTCTTGGAATAGAATATTACAAGTTAAGGAAATAGAAAAAATGCCTTCATATATATCAGAATTTTTAGATTTAGTGAATTAATTTCGTTTTGACACAGTGTTAAGGAAACACTTCGTTCCATTGTTTACTTCTGTCAGTGTCCTAAGATAAGTGAAAATAGCCAATTGTTTTCACGTAAAGAAAGAATTTGTTTTAGAATATTCAAATTTTTACATTTGTACTGTCATAAAGATGTCAATTGTCAAAAACGTGTTAGAAATATACGGCAGAGACTAAATATATAACCTGATAATATGAAAAATATGTTTTACCTATGTTGGAAATACCTTTGTCTATGTTACCTTTGCTTGATTACAAAATTCATTCGCTTAAGAAAAATATACGAATTGGAAAAAAAAACAGTCGACATGTTTCCAACGCTCTACTTGATCAAAAACTTCATTTGCCTCAATATATATATATATATATATATATATATATATATATCA